ATTCCAAGTGCCACATTTGGTCTAATATGGGGGGGGGGGGGTGCTGGTGGTGCCTGGGTTGCCTGAAAGTATAATGCCAACATGTTGCAAACCTAAGGTACTCTTCTCGGAGGCTAACTCAGCATTTCTGAAAAATTCCGCATGGTGGCGCCATGGTACAATAACGCGTCAACGTCAATGACGCGTCAATACATCAACAGGCCCAGATGGCATTCCAATTATGCTGATAAAGACATTAGGTCCGAAGTCTAAGCAGGCTTTGAGAGAGGCAGTGAGCAAAATAATAATCGATGGTGAAGTTCCCGATGGATGGAAACTTAGCAGGATGAGCATGATCTATAAAGGAAAGGGGGACAAAGCTGACATAAACAACTACCGTCCTATAACAGTGACATTAGTGGTCTACAGGCTGGTGATGCAGATTATAAAGGAAAGACTGCAGGCATGTATAGAGGATGAGGGGGTGCTGGGCGAACTGCAGAATGGGTTTCGGAAACACAGGAGGTTGGAAGGCAATCTGTTCTCACCGACGCAGTGCATCGAAATAGCAGAAAAGGAACACAGGCCCCTGTGGCTAGCATTTTTGGATATCAAGGCAGCATACGATAGCGTGGTTCAAGAGGAATTGTGGGGAATACTTGACACACTAGGCGTGGAAGTTGTAGTCACTGATCTTTTAAAGGATAGCTATAAAGGTAACAAGGTAGTTATAAAGTGGGAAAAACAGGTATCCAAGCCTGCAGAGGTAAAACGGGGGCTTAGGCATGGGTGTCCCCTGTCACCATTATATTCATGATGTACCTACAAGGATTAGAGACCGAATTAGAGGGAAATGGGCTTCGACCTCTCTTTCGTCAAACAAGGAAAACTCATTGAACAGGCACTACCAGCATTGATGTATGCAGATGATATAGTGCTAATGGCCGACAACAAGAAAGATTTGCAGAGATTGATGGACATCTGCGGTAATGAGGGAGATAGGTTAGATTTCAGATTTAGTAAGGAAAAATCAGCTGTCATGATTTTTAACGACAATGAAGGTAGTGAGCTTAGAATACAGGAGGTCACGCTAGAGATAACAAATAAATAGAAATATCTGAGCGTATGGATAAGCAATGGGGCCGAGTGCCTAAAAGAACATGAAATATACGTGACAACTAAAGGTAACAGGAATGCAGCGGTAATGAAAAACAGGGCACTGTGGAGTTTTAATAGGTATGATGTTGTGAAAGGAATATGGAAAAGTGGTCATGGTTCCTGGTCTTATGTTCGGCAATGCGGTCTTTTGCATGAGATCAGAAGTTCAAGCAAGATTAGAAATTAAGCAACGTGGAATAGGTAGGCTTGCCTTAGGAGCTCACGGGAATACACCGAATCAGGGAGTACAAGGTGATACGGGATGGACATCATTTGAGGGCAGGGAAGCTAGCAGCAAGATAGAATTGGAGAAGCGATTGAGAGAAATGGGGGAGGAGCGTTGGGCTAGGAAGGTATTCAGCTACTTGTACATGAAGAATGTCGATACAAAATGGAGGAAGCGAACCAGAAAATTGAATGGTAAATATTTAGAAAACGGCAGGGGGCCAAACCAAGAAGAATTATTGGTTAAGAAGAAGGCGAAGGAAGCTGAGACCGATCATGTGGAGAATTGGCATGATTAAGAAGTCCACACTAGAGATCTATCGATTATTATCTATCGATTATTATTATTATCTATCGATTATCAAGTGCAGCGGTTAAATTTGTTCTGTCAATAGTATACAAATACTCTAAGGTAAACCTGGCTTTCAAAAAACTGACAGTATCAACAATTTCTTTTCGGAATCCCCGCAACGACAATTCCTTAGCAACGCTTGTTGTGACATAAATAAAAGGAAGGTGGTATTATAGACGGTTACGAAGAACCGCTAATAGAAATGGGTGGCGCACATCCGTGAGGTAGAAAAATCGCAACACCAACTGTCACACGAACAAATGCACAAGGCCGAGGCCACCCTTTTCAAGTGGAAGAAAAAGATTGTCTTTTCTCATGGGTTTCCAGGAAGAGCTCCAAATAAAGCAGGCAAATATCCTATGAAAGGCTTGAATGTGTACCCGAGAACAATGCAACACCTGCAGAATATAAATAAGCTTCGATACAAGGAATATATTGCACGCTTTCGCTCTGGCAAAAATGGAAAGCTCCCGTCAGTGCCATGTTGCCACCTTTCGGCGGATCGTAGTTATCGCAGCGGTCCAGTGTGGGCCGCTGTTACGATAGTTATCGAGAGGCACACCAAGGTATTTCATAGGAGTCGTATTCCAATGAATATTTGCGAAGACCGAAGGAGTTGTAGCCCACATGCCTAGCCAGAATCCACTACTTTTATCAAAATTTATGCTGACACCAGCGACTTCACAGAAACGTAAAGTAGTGTTGACTGCTTCTTGAACGCTGGGTTTATCAGAGCAAAAGAAGGCAATGTCATCTGCATAAGCTAGAACTTTAACTTTCTCAGCATCATATCGGTAGCCTCTTATGCTGGACTTTAGAAGCACACTTAAACATAATGGTTCCAGATAAATTGCAAAAAGCAAAGGTGACAGCGGACATCCCTGACGTACAGATGAATTTAACTCTATTATATTGGAAAGTGTGCGATTTACAATTAGCCTAGTTGTGCACTTCTTATAACAGAGTGAGATACAATTGTATAGTACATCACCCAACTGCAGGTGTCTTAGGAGCCGGAACAAAAAAGCATGCTGTACCTTATCAAATGCTTTTGCAAGGTCTATTTGAAGGAGGGCTACTTGGTTCATGCTACCATCTATACACTCAAGAACTGAACGTGCAATATGAATGTTTGTCTGTATAGAGCGACCACGAATTCCACATGTTTGGTGGTCACCTACACATTTAGTAATCACTGTTTGTAGCCGATTTGTCAACAATTTAGCAAATATTTTGTAGTCAACGTTACATAACGATATAGGCCTGTATTCGTTAACTCCCTTTAATTCGTCAGGATCAGCACTTTTTGGGATTAATGTTGTATGGCTCTGATAGAAAGAAGGAGGAAGTTCACCATGGTCATAAGCCTCTTTAAAAAGCTGCTCAAGGAAAGGTATCATAAGTTCCTGAAAAGCTATGTAAAATTCGCCACTAAGGCCATCTGGGCCAGGAGTTTTGTTTTTCTGCAACGCTGTTATTGCAAATCTAATTTCCTCTCTGGTTATTGGCCCCTCTACAGTGAGTCTATCATCATCTTGTGACTGAGGCACAAGGGCAACGAAGTGGTTAGCTTCTTCCTCAAAATTCTCCTGAAGCTCAGCCGCGGTGATCAAACATTTGTAATAATCTTCAAATGCAGCTCTTATTTCACATGTCTCTGTGCAAAGGGAACCCCGCGACTCAATTTGCAGTATCTGTGTAGAAAGTGCATATCTCTTTTCATCCCCAAGGGATTTTTTAGTGGGTTCGTCTTCAGTGAAATGGGTAACACGGGAACGAATCTTAGCTCCTCTGTATAAATCTGTATCATGTTTTTGTATCTGTGCTCGAATCACATTTATCTCGTCCCCGTACAATCCCGGCTGTTGACTTTCAAAAGTATGGAGCTTTTGAAGTAATTCATAAAGATAGCGCTTTTCAGCTTTTTTTCTTTGCGCTATTTCGCATGAAATACTAATTGCCTGATACTTTACTCTTTCTTTGAACCTTTCCCATTGAGCGAAAATTGGCAGCTGTCGACACTGTGTTACCTCTTGTACCGATTCTTTTACTATTTAAACAAAACAATCTTCGCGCAACAACTGTACGTTAAGCTTCCATAGGTCCCAGTTTAGAGGGGTTTTACGAAAATTTTCAGGACCCCAAGAAACAGTGACCAAGCAATGGTCTGTAAAAAATATGGGCTTTACAGCATAATTATGAATGTGAGACCATAAGCTTAGAGATACAGATACACGGTCAATCCAAGCATGAGAGATGCCTTGAAAGTGCGTGAACCTCACCGAGGAAGGTGCATGCGCTCCCACATCTATTAAATTGTGGTCATTCAATAGTTTCTGCAGTAAGGCTGCACTTGCATCATAACGATTTGTTATATATGAATGATCTCTAGCGTCACAAACACAATTAAAGTCTCCAAAAACTACCAAAGTTCTGTGAGTGTTTAGTAGCGAAGTTAAAAAAAGGAAAAAAAGAATTCCTTTCATTCACTTTGGAGGGAGCATAGACACAGATAAACCTCCAATTATGGGAATGAAAAGATAAGTCGCAACAAATGAGGCGTCCTTCCCCATCAGCATGTAGTGACGTCAAAATATGATTCAAGTGCTTTCTAACTAATAAAAAGCATCCAGCGGATGCACCACGTGCTGGGCTGATGTATAAATTGTAATCACGGAAAACTTCCAGTGCAAGATCGGCGTCACGAGCAGCGGAAATCTTAGTCTCTTGCACTGCAAGTACATCAATGTTGTACTGCTCAAGCACGTGGCGCAACTGCCACTGACGCCTTACATTCCTCAAGCCACGTACGTTGAGTGTCGCTAGACACATGGGAAACGTTATAGCGCGGTAGCCATTTTGATATCTTAGAACTTTTGTAGGTCACCTTTAGCCACGAGCAACCTGTGGCTTTACCTCCTTTGCACTTTTTAGGAGAACTTTCCTCAGGACGCTGGCATAGGCGGCGCGTCTCTCGGTCCCCAAAGAAAGTGACACGTGGACCACACGAAGACACTTGCTCGGTCGTGTCTGGCGCACTCGTTGTTGCTTCATCGGTGACCGGTGCCTGACGCTTTCTTGTCTGACTGCTATCCATTCCTTCTTGTTCATCATTGTCAGGAGGCTTGTCTTTAAGGCCTTCCAAGTGGTGTTCGTCTGCAGCATTGCATTCATTTATGCTTTCACTGGCGTCGTTAGCGGTGTTATTTTGCGTGCCAAGGGTATCCATGGACAAGTGTTCAGCTTCCTTTAAGGCACCTTCTGCTCCTCCCGCTGCTTCTCCTGTCGCATCAACTACCTCAGTGACATCCATAAGATGATACAGACGTTGCTCTTCTGTGCCTTGGCCAGAACGGAGTTTGTTGGCATAAGTCGACACGCAGGCATCCGACGAGTGACCAAAACGCTGGCACTGCAAACACCTCGGTGTTTCGCACTGTCGTCGTTCATGCCCCACTCGCTTGCAATGAAGACACAGTGGAGGCCTACCGGGAATAAGTACGAGACATTGGTGGCCATATATTGACATAAGGTGTGGTATTGAGCTTACAGTGATGGTGTCCTTGAGCTCCAAGGCAACGTCTCTATTTGTTGTCATCCATTGTTCCATTCCTGCACATCTCCACGCCTCTCTTTCAACAGACTTCACAACACCGTAATCTTGGAACGCCTCTTCAACACATCGCGATTCAAGATGAGGCGGAAGCCAAAGAAGTTTCAGCCTAATATTCTTGGTCTCCGGATCTAGCACCATGCACTTCAGCCCTTTTACACGGAGCTCACCACAAGTGACGAGTTTCTGTTTCGCCATGCTGCTTGCACACGTAACCATCCATACATGGCTCATTTGATACTGGCCGACTCCTATAATGTCCGCTGTGCTCACCACTTTAAGCAGCGCGTCACGGAAGTCTGGGGCACGGTACGGCCTACCACTCAAGTCGGCATGAATAAAAACGGAATTCAGAACGTCATTACCAGTTGGAAGACGTGGCAGGACGACTTTATAGCTTGAGTCTTCATCATGAAACGGAGTCGATGATCCTCGGCCGTTGGCCGATACGCTGTTACCAGCAGAGAGCATTTTGGAACGCAGCCGATCGGTGCGGCTTCTTCTTCCGGTGCCTGTGACTTGCTGTCAAACTTGCTTCAGGCAGGCTTGATGTCGGGAAAGCAATGGCGTCCATACGACTTATAAAGCGTTTTACAACAGCGAAAGAACAACCAGTCGTCACACAATGCGAATGGCGTAATGAGTGGGCCGTCCAATGCTCCAAACCATCAAAAAAGCTTGTTCTTGTTCCCCTATTAACTTTGGCGCATACCCACTTCAGCCATAATTCCTCATTTTCGTCAACAACTGCATGAACAATTGGCACAAAATTTCTTGCAAGTGTTTAGCGGATACCACGCCTCTCAGAAGTATGACAAAAGATAGCGCATCGAATGCAGGGCTAATACCCAAAAGTTTATCATTAATGCCACAGTGAGCCAAGCAAGTGTGCTTGCAGTAGTTACCCAATGAGTGTTTTGAAAAGGCTCTGAAAGGCCGCTCTTCTCGCTTTCGCTGTGACTGTGCTGCGCCTATCGCGCAGGCCTGGCATTTTTTTTATTTTTTTATTTTTTGATATATAGTCTGCCTGTACTAATAATTGCAAGACCAATATTCGCACTCTGCAGGCTGTACAAGCTCAGGCACTCAGAGTCGGCCTTGGCTTGCCGAAATGCGCGCAGACTGAAGCGACTATTTCTATTGTACGGCACCATCCAGTACAAACGCACATTGTGGTGGAAGTTTTGAGAGCCTATCTAAGGCATTTTCCCTGGACCCATTGCCATCACCTTGCAACACGGCCTTCAGAGAGACCTCGGGCGTCGTACTGTGCGACGATTTCTAACTATGCCACTCACCTTCCATCGGGATTCAGCCCCGCATATGAGCAGCGATATTACCATGTTGATTCATTTGACCTTAAGTGTACCTCATCGTACCTGGCATCGAAAAAATATCTAATCTCACATCACCAGTGCTGAAACAGCTATATCTAGTGTTTTTGAACTAGAAGTACGCCAATTACGTGTACGTTTATACTCACGGACCAATCACTCTCTAGTGTTCGTCTGGAGCAGTGGTCACCCCAGCAAAAGATATGACCCTCAGTTTCAAGACATACCACACAACGTCATTGACGGCTGCAGAGCTCACTGCTTTTTGCGCTGCACGCAGTCAACCACATGCAGCCTTAACGTCGGTCAGTCTGCAGTGATTCAAAGGCAGCTCTGCAATCTTTGCGATCATCCCTGCGGCACGAATCACGCAAACAGCTGGTCTATGAGGTTCGGTACTGCGTCTGACAAAGGTCACCTCGTCACAATTCAGTGGCTGCCAAGTCACGGCGGCGTGATAGGCAGTAAACATGCAGACAATGCTGCTTGATGAGCGCTTCAAGGCAACAGGCTTGAGACAATATCGTTATTAAGGACCGACGCTGCCAGCCAACTATGAGTGGCCACACGGGAAATCTCTCTCGTCTTGGAATGCAAGCAGACTGGTCAATCAACTCCGCTACAGCCCGAACACTTTACTACTGCAGACGCCTAGTGAACTGCACCGAAATGATGCCTCCCTATTTTGCCGTTTATGGTTAAGAGTGGTTTTACGAAGTCATTTTCATTTCATATCGAAATGGCTGACAACCGTTTCTGTTACAACTGTGGTAGCTAGGAGACATTACAGCCCATCTGCTACTGACCTCGCTACAATGCTCCGAGAAAATCCCTTGTAGCTGCGCTAGCTCGCGAGGATCGCAGACCGATGATGACGGACGCCATTCTATGTCGCCCAGAAAGGTCATCGCGAGAGAGGTTCTCTCTCTCCCTCTCTCCATCTTTCAAGCACTTCATCCCTGTCCTCAGTGTAGGGTATCCTACCAGTCTTCTTGACAGGTTAAAATCCCTGCCTTTCCTTTCCCTTCTGTACCCATTCCATTCTTTTGACGAAGTGCTATACTCGAACTATGATCAAACATTGCTGAATTTCGCGATGAGAATGGTGATTTTATTTCGACGCATCAGAAGCGTAGCCAGAATTGTTTTTGGTGGGTACGGGACACCACTTTCATTTGAAGTGGGGGCCCAGCAGGCAGATGTGCTCGAATGTCTTATTGGGGTCTGTATGCCACAGGAAAAAATGGAGGGGGAGGGGGGCGCAGGCCGAATGTGCCACTCCCTGGCTACGCTATTGACACGCATCCCATTTGAGGAGGGGTTACAAGATAGAAGGTCATTTAACCTGATTGTAGGTAACTGACTAGCCACAATTTTGAAACACTAGATTTGCACGTCTTTATGTGAACTATAGTATATTACATAGTGAACTAGATTAGTGTAGTCTTAACTAGGGGACTATAAATCAAATTATTAGCGATTGCGATCTAAAAATCAAATTGTGTATTAGATAATTGAAAATATTCATGTCAAATGATACCGAATGCGCAGGTCTGACAGATATTCTTTCCGTTCATAGTTTTAGCATAAGGCGAAAATTCTGTAAAGGAGCCGACAGGTGCAGGACTACCAGTAACTGCAGTATATATCTGTAGATATATACTCATGATCATTACAAGATACATCTGGAAGAATTAGGAATACCATAACGAAAAGTACAGGCTTGCATGGAATCGTGCTGGAGTGAGCAACTCGTATAGCTCGTATAGTGATATCGTGTCCAACTTGAAGCCCTGAACTAAAAAAGTACGGAAGTTCTAGCAGTTTACAGAGGGAAATGCTCATGTAAATTAATACGGTTTCGTATGATCCTGCTTCACAGAGCTGCGTATGTTGGAGACACAAACCAACTACCGAGTTAACACATGAGGTCCACTCAAGGGAAATTCAAATAGCTGTAAGCGGGTAAATAAGCATGTCTCCCTTTAAGCTGCCAGCGGATTCGTTGTAACTACTGTAGCTGGCAAACAGATCATATATTGTGTCACCGTACTAGGACCTCAATGACATTGCTTCGGTTGAGTGTGGCGCTAAATATACTGCATGAAAAAGAGGGCGAAGAGAAGAAAGTGATGCGCAGACTTCTGTGTAATGACACAAAAAATACAACAGTTTCCGCGCATGCGTGAAGAGCCAACATATCACGTGAGCCACGTGATAACATTTATTGATAAAGCGCATTTCCAAGGAACAAAAAGTTATTCGCAACTCCATAAAACGCTCCGTGTGTTGGCAACACTGGTCGAGTAAACAAAGATGGCCATGCTTAACAGGGTCAAAGCAGCACTTTTGCTTGACGCTGCACTGAAGTTTCTTGATTGTGGCATTGTATCGCGTTGCTTCGTCCAAGGCAAAAAGGTGCTGGCCGCGGACCTCCTCATTCTCATAGGCATAAAGGATTTCACTGGCGGTACAGCGACAGTCGTTGCGCTGAACGTGGAAACATCAAACCTCTTCGGCGAACCGCATCAGAGTTACTTCAAGTTCAAGAACCTGTCTTGCGTGCCCGAGGTTGCAGCAGGCAACTGCTCATGCGCAGCGGGCCTCTCCGAAAGGTGCTAGCACTTTCGCGCTTCGTTGTTGCACTGCTACATGCAAGACCGAAACAGTTTTCTGGGTAACTATACGCTGCGACTCGTGCTGCCGATTGCATGCAGTTCGTTGAGTTCCGTTGTCTCGTCAAAAGCTTAATGCGGATGTCGTTCACTTGATTACAGAAAGGAGCTAATGCCTGGACCAGTGTATATTGAAATAAGGCAAATCGTAGTTTCAATTTAAATAGGAGTGCTTCTTTTGTTTCATTCGCTGATCCATGTTATTAAGTTTGTAATGAATAAGGTTGCGTGCTTTCGAACACTCGCTTGATCGTGTTCTCATCGGTGCTATTTTAAACATTTATGCACGCACGCTACGAATGCACGGACATGATATGCGCACAACATAATACGCAGGAACATACATACACGCGACATCCGTGCGCGCGTTTGTTTGTATATATACACACATACCAAATAACAAATGTTTAGGAGAAAGGATACGGCAGCTTCATTTCCGAAGGGGTAGCACTACGACTTGCGTAGCAAACCAACATATGCGAAAAATACACTCACACACGTAACGCAACAAATTTCCTGGGGCGCATACAAATATATAAATGAAACTATGCTCCGTTCTTATAGAAGCCCGAATATTGATAAGCATGCATTCACCCTACAGAGTGAGTGCATTCTATACTCGCTGAGGAGATTTAGGTAATAGTTAGCGATTTGATTATAAAAGCCATCGTAGTGCCAGTCCCTTTCTTTCCAGCGCGTAAGTTTCTGATTTGCACTGTTCTCCGTCGCGAGCCGTCTGCACCCTTCGGGAAGTGATAGGACAATACGTTGCCGTTTTTTCCACCGCGATTCCACGCATTTCGGCACATTGCAATGGTCTTTGGATATCACTTACTTCTTTTTCGGGCTCGCGCGCGTGGCATAACAAAAATAAAGGAACTATATGCGGCTGCATCTCAACGTGCGCAACGTGGTAGCATAAATCCTTTCGATATTGACCTTAGCACCATTTCCAGGCGCGGCCGCTAGGTGGCAAGCGTTCAGTTGGAGTTGCGATACTGACCAAACGAAACCCTTTCTTTTTCATATAGAAGTCTTGCAACCATGGACTCTCTAGCAGTTTGTTTGCTGCTTTTGCCGAGAATAACAAGCTGTTAGAGAGTTAGTGAGTTATTGGAAGCCTTCTGTACCAAAAGATCTTGTCGCACATCCGTAGAAACCATTATTCATTCTGCCACGGCGACTTAATCCTTCGATCTTCGCAACGTATACATTTTGCATGACATTCGTACTTGCTTGGAGTCAGTGTGTGTGTGCCATACAATGTGGCATAACTGGCAGCGCACTCGCAACCGTTACTCCAAGGCTTGCTCAGAAATGCGGGAACCACGATGAATGCGCCTAAACTAATATCGTCATGTGTTCGTGCTGTCCAGCCTTAGTGGATCGTAGCAGCTTCAACGAACAAGACGCGATTGAGGGGGCCCTTTTTATCGCCGCACTAACGCCTACTTTTCACCCTGTTAGAAGAATTTGCTTTTCACAGTGA